TAACGGATAAGGGATGGGGGCAGGGGGTGGAGAGGAGTGAGTGGGAGGTGGGGTGTTGGGGAGAAGAGGCGGGGTAGGGACAAGGCCTCAGGGGAAGGGACGGGGTGAGGGTAGAGGGTCATCTCTGCCCCATGGCTTTCACCCTTCCCAAGGCACTCAGGGCCAGGGCCAGGCTGCCCAGAGTCTGAGCAGAGCGTGGTACGGCACTGTACAGTCCAGCTGTGTCCCTGTGCTAAGATACTGCTGGATGGGTGGGCACTGTGTTGAGTGGCCTCCTCCCCTTGCCCTCAGGGGAAGGGACGGGGTGAGGGTAGAGGGTCATCTCTGCCCCATGGCTTTCACCCTTCCCAAGGCACTCAGGGCCAGGGCCAGGCTGCCCAGAGTCTGAGCAGAGCGTGGTACGGCACTGTACAGTCCAGCTGTGTCCCTGTGCTAAGATACTGCTGGATGGGTGGGCACTGTGTTGAGTGGCCTCCTCCCCTTGCCTCAGTTTCCTTTTGGGTAGCCTAAAGGACCCATTTCAAAATTGACTTTAATAGTACCCCTCCTGGGGCCAATGTATTACAAGTCCCTTGTGCAAACAGTCCACCAAAAATCCCAGCTGCTCGTCCACCAGCCTCTAGTCCTTTTTTCACACGGCCCCGTGTCTTCCTCCTCATCTCGCCTCTTCCACCCCCTTCATGGGTGCAACCCCGCTCTTTCCCACAGCCAGTCCCACGGGCTCTGTGATGCTGTCCAGCGGGGAAGGGGTCCATCGACACTAATATGCTCACCACTTTTACAAAGCTATGGTTCATCAGTATGCCTCGCAAGGCATCCCTGGAAAAGTTATAATCCGCTGAGTATTATTGTCTTGTTATAATGTGTGTGTCAGCATTGCGCATGCAGTTATGAAGTGTTGCTGTATGTTTGGGACTCAAACATCTTGTGAACGTGTGAAATACCCACATGTTCGCTTTTCAGGAATAGTGACGGAACTGTAAACATGAGCTGCCACTTATCATTCCCAGCGCTGCCGCAAACAGCAGGTACGCAGAAGGGGCAAGCAAAAATGTGCAGTTCTTGGGAAGGACTGAGGGCCAAGCCGTGGAGCTGCCTGGCCATCGGTAACAGAGGCAGAATTATTCCAGGAAAAGAGTCACGCTATAAAATGGGAGAAGCAAGCCCACCTCTCTCCTACCCTGTCTGTGGACACGTCTGACAGGGGAAATGTTGACCCAAAGGACTGAGGCCCCCAAACTAGTTGGGTAACCCCGAGAGACGCACAGGAAACTAGCCGATTTCACACCCCTCCATGCATTGTGGGCTTGCAAACTCTTAATTCACCTGTAACGTATTTTACCTGCTTTATTTTACCAGCCTCTCTTCTTCCTATGGATTTTGGGGAGTCTCTAAGGTGCCACAGGACTACTCGTTTTTCCTCCTTATTTCCATTTCCTGCCCTTATTAATGGTGCGGTGTCTTCTCCCTGGCGGTCAGTAGATCACGGATCTCAACGTATTATCAGAAATGTCGATTTCTTCCCATGCGAGTGTCTGTCACCTTCGTTATTTCTATCCCACCCGGGTATTCAGGCCGGTCTGAACCGGTTATTTTGGGTTTTCGAAGGGACCTGACGGTTGCCTTGTCGAGGTGAATGGTCCCGCATAGATGCCCATCGGCTTTGCTGTGCGGGCGGAAGGTCCCAGGGGCATGGCAGCTTTGCCTTAGCTCAACATGTAAGTCCCGTGCGGGAGAGCAAACTGCCCCTAGAAACCCACTGTAACGTCTTACGATAATCATAGAATGAAAGCCATAGGGGGAAATAAATGTCTATCGCTATAGGCCGGCGTCAGAATGGTCCCGCATAGATGCCCATCGGCTTTGCTGTGCGGGCGGAAGGTCCCAGGGGCATGGCAGCTTTGCCTTAGCTCAACATGTAAGTCCCGTGCGGGAGAGCAAACTGCCCCTAGAAACCCACTGTAACGTCTTACGATAATCATAGAATGAAAGCCATAGGGGGAAATAAATGTCTATCGCTATAGGCCGGCGTCACCGGGCATTACAACCCATCTTGGGGAGCGGGGCCCAGAGCCAAGGGCCCTGCCCCCAAGCCAGTGAGACTCTCACACCCAGCAGCCTGCCCTACCCCCCAGCCTTTGTCCTGCTCTCCGGGGAAAAGGGGTCACCTAGTTACACCCCCTCCCAGGCTCAGGTGACAGAAAGCATCCGCCGTGCCGCCAGCCCTCCTGGGGCTGGGGAGGCTGGGGCTGCGAGCTTCCTGCTTTCCCCATGCTGGGGTGGGGGGGAACTGTGGCCACATGTCTCCTGCTGGGGGGTGGCCTGCCCTTACAGTGTGGGGCCTTGGCTCCCGTAGGGCCTGGATAGCATGGTGGGGCCTCAGGCAGAAGGGGTGGGTCATCAGGGGAAGGGTGTGGCCTCAGGCAGAAGGGGCGGGGCCTCAGGCAGAAGGGGTGGGGCCTCAGGCAGAAGGGGCGGGGCTGGGGACTTGCCTCTCCCAGCACTGGGTTCACCAGCCACTCATGAGCAGAGGCCTAGAGACCGGAAGGGGCAGAGCTGAAGTGCTTAGGGCCACACGTCCAGTGGGGTTCACCCCACCCGAGGTTCCCTAGCCAGGTGATCAGTGGGGCCAGGAAAGCAGGTACCAAGCTGCCAGTCCCTGAGGATCAGGTGCATCAGTATCTCCTCTCTCCAGACTTCCCCTGCCCCGTCTCTGGAGACCAGTCGGTGCCTCACACGGCGTCTGCCCAGGCCCACCCAGGGCCCCTCAGAGCCTGCAGATCCCTCGTTCGCAGACACGGGGCAGCGGTGTCCATGTCTCATGCACACTTGCTCTTGCCAAGGCAGAAGGGCAGGTCCGGAGCTGGGACCAGGATGCTGCTGAAGATGGGCCGGTAGTTTTCGGGCAGGGTCTGCGGATTCTGCGCCATCATTTCCAGCACCACGTTCCGGGCCTCCTTGGAGACGTCACCCCGGAGCTCCAGCACAATGGAGATGTGCTCGTCGCTGTGGGGCAGGAAACCAGAGAGAGAGACAGTGACCCCCCTGCCTCCATTTCTTGCAGAAAGCACAAAGGTCGGCTGCAGGCTGGGGAGGCACTGAAAGTGACATGCCTAGGGACGCATGAGGGGTAAATCCAGCCCTGATTTGGGGGCAGCGGTATTGCCAACCTTATGTTTGGGATGCCTTCCCAACAGGGCAGCAGGGGAGCAGCGGCTGCTGGCCGGGAGCCCAGCTCTGACGGTAGAGCCACCGCCAGCAGCAGCGCAGACGCAGGGAGACGGTCTGGTATCACCACCCTTACTTCTGCACTGCTGCTGGCAGGATGCTGCTTTCAGAGCAGGGCTTCTGGCCAGCAGCTGCTGCTCCCTGGCCGCCCGGCTCTGGAAGCAGCACCGACGTAAGGGTGGAAATACAGTGACCCCTCCTACAATAACCTTGACACCCTCCTCCTGAGCCTCCCTGTTGGGTCAGGACCCACCTGCCTGGTTAGAAACCCTGACATTGAAGATTGAAATATCTCAGACCGGGACTTTCAAGAGCTTTGAAATGCTCGGATGGTGACATTTACCAAAAGGGATCGTGACTGTGGCAGGCCCCCAGCCATACGGCCGCCTGCCTGGGTCGGTGTCATTGGTCCATGCCAGGCTGAGGCGAAGCAACCAGCCAGCAAAGCCACCAAGCGAAGCGCCGGCATTTTTCGCTAAATAATGGGACTTCTTTGGTCTGGGCCGACTTTGAATTCCCGTGTCTGGTCGGTTCCTTTTTCTCCTTTCAGCTCTTTGGCTGCTGAGCAGCGGCGAATGAGAGGGGAGTGGAGGCGGGGCTCTTTGGGAAAACTTTCTCTTTTCTCTTTTTTCCTCCATGTTTGGTTCTCCTCGACTGGGGTTTTTCGAACGGCTGGTTAAGTGAGAGGGCAGCAGAAGGACAGAGAGGCAGGGTCAGTCCCACTGCCCCGCCCCGCTGGCCATCTGACATTTCTTTATCTCGCTGGACAACATAAAAGAAACCTCTTGGGAAGCCACCAAACAAGGGGCTTTGGCTCTGGGGTGGGTTCAGCAAAGGGGAACCCTTCGGTGGGAGCCAGGGGCCCCTGTGCTGCTCCGACAGGCGCCCGGCCGGCCCCTGCCGTGCCCACGGGCCCTGCCCCCGTGGCTTTCGGGGACGAACAGGCTTGCGAGGAGAGGGTACCTGACGTCGGGGTACTTCGTCACAAATCCCAGCACCTCCAGGCTGAGCAAGGCCGGGTCCTGCAGGCGGATGAGCTCCTGGAGGGCGCATATCACCTCCAGGCTTTGCTCGCTCTCAGCCAGGCCCTGCCGGAAGGAACCAGGCAGCGTCAGGAGCCGGGCCAGACACAAAGCGCCACCCCAGGGAGCCTGTGGGCCTGGCACGCTGGCCTGTGGACAGCACCCACCAGGCCCAGGGGCTCAGTTCAGCGTCCGGCCACCGTGCTTGGGCGACAGGGCGTCCTGGGGGGGTGATGTGCTCACGCCCGACCCCTCCGGCCTGAGAACGGAGCGATCCAGCCTCCCGCAGCCAGCATGTGGCTTGGCCTAACGTCCAGGGCACGGGGAGCCAGCCCCTCCCCCCCAGCAACTTGCCGCCCAACGTCGCTTTGGGTGAGCGATAGGAGCCGAGAATCTGCGTCGTGTTTCCCAGCGGCTCTGCCAGGCTGCCAGTCCAGCAGGCGACGGGCTCTTCTGGGGCAGGCCTCCCGCCGCTGTTACTTTGGGTATTTCACTAGCCCCTGGAGCCAGGACGTGCGTCTCCCACCTCTAGATCCACAAGGCAAGGGCCCTTCTGGCCACATGGCCACCCACTGGCTGTGACTATGGACCGCCACTGGGGAGGGCAGCGGAGAATTCCCTCGCCCTCCGGGGGGGGAACATTTAAGAACACAAGAGCGGCCAGACGGGGTCAGACCAAAGGTCCATCGAGCCCACAGTGGCCCAGAGGGAGGGAACAAACAAGGAATCAAGTGATTCCTCTCCTGTCAGCCATTCCCAACTTCTGGCAAACAGAGGCCAGGGACATCATCCCTAACAGCCATTGATGGACCTAACCTTCATGAATTCATCTAGTTCTTTTCTGAGCCCTGTTAAAGTCCTGGCCTTCACCACATCCTGTGGCAAGGAGTTCCGCAGGTCGGCTGCGTGCTGCATGAAGAAATAGTGCCTTTACTTTGTTTTAAACCTGCTACCTGCCGTGGCCGCCCGCCCCCCAGCAGCGCCGACCTGCCAGCCTGACCTCGCGCCTCTGGGGGGCAGCTCCCCTCACCAGGTTGTGGAAAAGCTCCCTGAGCTGGGATGCGTCCTGGAGCAGGCGGGCGGAGAGTTGGCTCCGCTCCTCGGCGCTCCGGCACACCATCTTCTTCTCCAGCAGAG